TATGTTTGTACATTATTAGCGCGACGACACTTGAAAGATAATCTCGGCGCCGGCCGCGACGGGCGCCACTATTCGAAAGTCGCCCTCGTCCGTGATCGCAGCGTTGACAGCGATGTCAGTGCCTTGGGATAATTGCTTGGGCGCGTGCTTGATGGCGACCTTGCGCCCATGGACGTCCTCCGAGTGGTACCGGAGCGACGCGGCGAGGCCCGTCTCAAAACTGCACAGAGGACATGCGTACACCGGCTGCCGCCCGCGCCGCGCCGGCACGACGGTTGCGACGCCCGAAGCCTTGGCGCAGCTGTAGCCGTGAGCGCTCTCGCAGTGCGAGGCGAGGTCGTCGATCAAGGCCGTCGTCTTGCATTTGTAGCCGCAGCGGGTGACGGGACACTGTAGCTCGCGGCCCTTGCATGTCGTCGGCCGATCGACGGCAAAGGCATCCAAATGCTCTCTCGTCACATGCGCTAGCAGCGTTGGCCAGCTCGGGATCGAGACCGAACAAGCTGGACACGTGTACGGACCCTTGGGCGGGACGAGGTACCGCGGGAACGGATCGCGCGCCTTGCGCTTCTTTCCAGAATGCGCCGCTTTGAGATGCTCTTGCAGAGCCAGCAAATCGGTCGTCTCGAAGAGGCAGCGCTCGTTGGGGCAGTCGTACACGGGCGCGCCGACCGTCCGATCAAAGGCGGGCAGCGCGTAGCTCGGCTCGTCGGGCAGGGTTCGCTTGTGGCGAGAGACGCAGTGCTTCTGCAGTTTTGGCCACTCGGTGCTCGCGTACGAGCAGTCGGGGCACCGGAACGGCACGGGCCGATCCTCGATTTGTACGAGGTCCGATGCGACGCCGAGGCCCGCGTGGTTGATATTGATGTGCTGCTTCACGCTCGCATGCGACTCGCTGCGGAACGCGCACTTGGGGCATTGGAGTTCGCGGTTCGGGCGCTGGAAGACCGCGACGGTCGCGTCGGCGCCGAGGTTCTTGTCGATGATAAAGTCGTCGTGCTTGGTCACGACGTGCCTGTAGAGGAGCTGCCACTCGCCCGCGCGGTGGGCGCAGGCTTCGCCAGGGCAGCTATACAATCCGTCCGAGTCCATCGTCACGTAGAACGTGTTTGGGCGCGACGACGGCTTGCTCTTGCGGGCCATGGCGTCCGTCCTGTGGCGGCTGGCACAATATCCGGATACGTACGATTGGATAAACCCACGCAACTGCACTGAAAAGGCTTCTCCAGCTGACCGCCCGAGACACTGGATTTGATGCTGCATGCACGGTTCGCATCGGTGGACGATGAGGATGCATGCTCGTATGGCGAAAATATATAGCGGGCGCCTGCCATTATTGCTTCCTCTTCGCGGCTACCTCGTCGCTTTCAACATGACCAATTTTATCCTGTTCATGTCGTTGTTCTTTGTCCTTGTGGACATTGGTCTCCACTTTGCGACGGCCACGTCAGCACCGATGCTTCACAGCGCCGCGCGACCCGCCATCGACCGATACACCGCCGTGCGGTAGCGGCCGCATCAATACGTCGCCCGACCCGTCGACGGCTCGCTGAATGATCAACTTGATGTAATACAACTATTGGAACGTAGTAAATAGAATGTATAACTTTCTTGTCGACAAGCATGGCGTCAGGTCGTGCTAGGTAAGCTAGCCGTGTGTCTTGCAGCCGCGGTGTCGGAGATGAGCATACGACATGCATACAAGCCGCCCCTTGAGGTGCATCGAATCGGGTACTGAATCTCGAACGATTGATTATTTCAGCAGTTGAACGAGTACAGGAGCCTGTGTACGACGTGTTCCTCGGTGAGGGAGGTCCACCACGAGATGGATCTTTCCGTGCGCAGCTCACTCCCAACGACCAAGTGCTCGTGCCCAACTGAACGAATAAAACTATAGCTTTCGAACAAGCCATCCGGTCCACTGGTCCACACGTTGGGTAAACCCTCTGCTAGCCTCAAACATGCGTTTTGGCAACTGGATCGAGCGGGCTATCCAGCTGCCGCGTCGCTTCTACAATATGCCAACCATCACAAGCAGTAGCTCTGGATGAATGCGTTCGCCACTTGCCCGCTGTACATACGCGCGCGAACGATAAGCAGACTCACTTTTCCGTTTTCCCCACCATGTTCAAGGGCCTCTTCCTCTCGACGCTTCTCGCCGCCTCCGCGATGGGCCAGCTCACCGAAGTGCTCAACCTTGTCTCGAGCATCGCGCAGGCCAACCCGATGGTCAACGCCGCCGCGATCCAGCAGAAGGTGGGCACCTTCTTCACGCCGCTGAGCCCCCAGCAAAAGGCGCAAGACGACGCGGAAATGAACACGAACGCGTTCTGGACGGCCAAGTGGGGCGCGGCGCCCGTCGTCGATGCGCCCGTGCAAATGGCGGCTCCGGTCGCCCCCGTCATGGCGGTGTTCGCTCCGTCCGCAGACGAGCCGACGACGCCGCCGGCAGTCGCCGTGCCCGAGGCCTTGAACATGTCTGCACCGACCAACGGCACACAAGCATTCTAAGCATACTATCGCTATATCGTGTCTGCCTCTGCCCTCACAAGTATGACTGTCTAATAATGTATTTCCTGTCCCCACGCCAACTCGTCTGACAAGTCGACACAACGCAAACTGCACTACTATATACCTTACTCGTGTAAGCTTAGTACGCAGGACCAGCGTCGACATGGCCGAGCTTTCGAGTCTACTTGTCAGCCAATTAACTACGAAGGGACGTTGGCTGGACACGATATCAACGTCTGATTTTTGGCCACTTTAGCGCAGTCGGTCGATGGCGCTTCGTCGATCTCAGTCCTTGCAAACGAAGATGGCAGCCCGCGGGATGAGACCAGGCTGTGCGTGTGCGAAGCCATGCGTGCGAGGGTTTATTGGGTCATCGATGGCTGTAAACATAATGAAAATGGATTACGTGGGAACTAAGGTTCTAACTCGAGTCGCTTTACGCCCGGCAGTTTTCGAGGTCAAAGACAATAATGTCGGTCGCGCCGAGTTCGTGCAAGTCGTCCATGATGTCGCCGACATCCGAGCGGGGTACCATGGCCGAGACGGCGAAGAACGCTTCGTTAAAGAGCGGGTTGATCGTCGGCGCCTTGCGACCCGGCGTGACCTTGATCGCGTGCTGGAGCTTCTCGGAGCAAACGTTGTACGTGATCATCTTGTACTGCTGCGCAAGGATGAAGCCAAGAAAGCGCTGGTGGATCTTCTTGACGAGCTTTTCATGGCGCGTCTTGGGATTCGAGATCAAGACCGCCTGCGTCGTCATGATATTGCTAACGATCTCAAGGCCCGCAGCCTTCATGGTCGTGCCGGTCTCGACGAGATCGACGATGCCGTCGGCCAAACCGAGGCCGCACGCGGCTTCGACCGAGCCGCCCACGTACTTGATCTCTACCGACATTCCACCATGAGCTTGCTATCCAGTTGATACATCGATACAAGCGTACGCGTCGGCGTCGTGGTTTCAAACTGCTTGAAGTACTGCGCCGTGATGTGCGGGAACGACGTGACGATGCGCTTCCCGGCGAGCTGGCTCGGGTGCGTGATCGCGCTGTTCACGGGGCCTTGCACGGCCAGCTTGCACCGGCCAAATTCAAGGTTCTAGCCTCGTCCTTAGGCTCGCATAGAATGCAAAATGAGGCCTCGTACCATGAGCTCGTGGACCGTCGTCTGCGACTCAGCAATGATGTCTTGGCCCGTGATCCCGAGGTCGACGTTGCCTTCGCCGACGTACGTAGCAATGTCCGAGGCTGGGAGGAAGACGAGGGTTACTGGCAGTGACGAGCACTGCGCAATATCGAGGCGGTTGGGCTACACAACGAGAGCATGCATCTTCGACATCGCACGTACTAATAGTTAGTACATACCCGGTTGTAGTCGAGGCCGGCGCCGTTGAGGAGCTTGACGACGCTCTCGTAGAGGCGGCCCTTCTTCGGAATTGCAAAGAGGAGGTTGTCCTGCTTGGGCGGGGACATGGGCGCTGCCATCGACATGATCGTGTTCGTGCTGGAAATTGAATACTGAGCAAAGCGGGGATGAAAGATCTTCCTTCGAACTTCTGGTGGTACGCGTGGGACATACCCGTGTTCATCGGCTTTCCCTCGGTTGAACAACCTTCATGGCCATTTTGACCTTTCAACATCCCTTATTCTTCCCGATGACGGACAGGATGTCATTAAAGCGAGGTCGTGTTGCAAGGCCGTCCTCCAACTGCATCTAATTCTTGTGGTCTGCTTGGAGACACCAGCTGCGCATGCAGCGATCGCGACGCCACGGTGTTGGCACACTCACGCCCGAGCTGCAAGCAAATGGCGTCATCTTCGGCTTCGGTGGTCTTCCACGATGCGTCGCCGGCACTGTACCTCCTGGTCATTATTGCAGCTGGTGGCGACAAGAGGATCCCGTCGCTGCTGCGATCGGTGCACTACTGAATGTACCTGCCAACGCGGCGCTGCGTGCCACCTCGGCGACATCACAAGGATGGATGGCAAGGATTGTCCTGCTGCAGCTTGCTGCTCGCCGCTCGCCACCGCCCGGTACAAAGACAGTTTTAGAGTAGACGTGCATTGACAAGAAAAGGGCTACTTGCTGTGCCAGAGGCTCAGCCACGCCGAAGTGATCGTGTTGGTCTGCTCGATGGACTGCGTCATCTCCTCGAGGTTGTCGCTGAGCCGCTTGAGCGCCTGGTTGAAGTTGTTCATGGCCTTCGTGCTGGCTTCGTACTCGTCGGCCTCCTTGAGCGCCGGCGCCGGTGGCAGGCGATGGCCCTCCGTACTCTCCATGATGGCGCCGTCGACGTTTTGTCCAATCTGGGCGGTGCGCGCCGTTTTCGGTGCGCTCATTGGCTATAATACAATGCCAACCATCGAAAAACGTATTTTTACTTCGATATTTATATCGGCCTACAGACACACATATATAGCAGGTACATTTCAATACAAAATACATTGCTCGCCCCTTGGCTGAAAATGGAAGGCGTGACGCGCACATGATCGCGGTGCTGGGATTGGCCAAGAAAATGGATCTTTTCTAGGATTGGTGCATTGGACAGAAAGGACGCGGGGATTGGTCCCTGGATGCATCGCGTCGCTTGATTGGGCGTGGTGGGAGGTTGAGATCTTAGCGTTCACTTTCGATTTCGGCGACTTTGCACCATGCACGACTTTGAAGCTGCGCAAGCCCACTTCCTCTACGAGCACCGCGAGCCGTGCAGCCAGATCGCGCTCATCCAGATCGTCACCTTCCTCATCTCGTTCGTCTTCACGTACGTGACGTGGTGGTCGGGCCTCTTTGGCCTCCTTGTCGCGATCGTCGGCTACTACGGCTGCCTCACGCCCGTCGTGCAGAGCAAAGTGAGCTTCATCCAGTTCTACTACTTCGGCAACTGCTTCATCCTGCTCCTCCAAGCGCTCTCGGCCATCGTGCTCATCGTCGTCGTGAGCGAGTGGGCCATCGTCACCGCGTGGGGCTGGGTCGTCATCGTGCTTGGCACGGTCTGCTTCATCTTCCAACTCTACATCACGGTACCTCCTCATCTGTGTGGATCCAGGTCTAATGCGAGTGTGTCTGTAGTACATGGCCATGCAGCGGTCGCACTCGTACCGTGCCGAGCTCATGCGCAACCCGCCGCCGGCCGAGATCATGGTCTACTCGCAGCAGGCTGTGTACACGGCCGTGCCGCAAATGGTCACCGGCTACAAGGCGCCCATGGACACCAAGTCGATCTAATCGCGTCCCTCTTCACCTGTTTGCATTATCGTATGCAGCTAGCTTTTGTATCATGACATGGAAATGAACGTGGTGGCGACTTCGTCGCGCACCTTAACTTTCGGTGCGTCTCTTGCGAGCAATGATGACGGTGGACTTATAGTCATCGAAACGGTGCGGATGACGAGCCTCCAACGGCGCAACCTGCGGTGCTAAGGACTTCCAACGGTCGCTTCTCACGCCGTGTCTCCCAGCTGTCAGGCTGCCTTCGCTCTCCACGCACACTAACGACGGTACTGGATTAACTTGTCTTGGTATTGCGCCACTCTCTAAAGTTGAGTGTCGTGTTAAGTTGCATGTTGAAAACCTGTGACATTCAATGTGCGAGTATGTTGTGTGGGAGGAGCTTGGGCGTTCCTATATCGAGGTGGATCGGGCCAATATTTGGTTGCCGACCATTCATCCATTTTGAGGCCGATGTTTCCTCGCCTTGCCCTCATCGGCGCCGTGGCGCCGCTGCGCGTGGCCAGCCAGCGCCAGATCAACCGCAAGCTCAAGCACCCGGCCACGCTGCGCAAGCTGGCGCGCAAGGAGGCCGAGAACCCGACGCCCGAAGTCGTCCGGAGCTTGAAGTACGAGCCGACGTACGTGCCGGAGAAGGTGAGCTTCAACGGCTGGTCGCCGGCGCGCGCCGAGGGCCCGCTCGAGGGCCTGCCGTTTACGGTCAAGCGCACGTCGACGGGCTTGCAGCTGCCCGTGTACCGCGACTACCGCAACGGCCGCACGCGCATCATCACGATCGTGCGCCGCTTTGACGGCGACGAGGCCGAGTTGCAGCAGGAACTCTCCACAGTATGCGACGGCTCGCCCGTGCTGTCGCGCCCGGGCCGCTTGGAAGTCGTCGGCGACTACTCGCACCAAATCAAGCAATACTTTACGGGCCTCGGCTTCTAAAGCACTAGCATAGACACACTACTAATACAGACATCGACAAACCAAGCGCGTCTCATTAGCAGCGACGCTTACGGCAGCGCATTCATCCCGTACACGTCCGCCATGACGTTGACGACGAGGTCCGAGAGGCTCGCATCGCTCGTCGCGACCCGCAGTAGGAGCGGCTCGAGAGCCATCAAGTAGGGCCACGTGCCTGCGTGCAGCGACAACTGCGAGAGAAGTCCGACCGCCAGCCGCGCCGTCTCGGCCTACTCTGGTCATGGGCCACCGCCGAATCGTAGTAGTAGAAACGCATACCCGGCCGCTGGCAACGAGCGCCCCAAGCCTCTCCATCGCGTCCGGCTGGCGCGCAATCCAGAGCTATTCCAGTCATCTGCGCCGCTGTCCGCACCACGTCAAGAAGCATACCCGCATCGCATCGTTGGCCGATGCGACGTAGTAGAGCACCTGCAGCGCCAGGTCGCGGATCTGGAAATCGGCTTTTTTTCCATCGGGCGTCGCGCCGGCTTGGCGCGAGACGAAGACCATGCCCATGTTGGCCCCGACACGGTCGCCTACATCATCGGTACAATCGTGTCTGTTGCCGTGTCGACCGACGAGGTGCTACCGGCGCGCGTCGGCGACAGCGATGCGTCGAGGTCGCGGCTCGACGACGCCAGATACGGAAGCAGCCCGACGTCGTAGCCGAGGTCCTCTTGCAGCGCGGTGTCGTGCCCATCGTCCATGCCGTCGTCCATGTCGTCGTCGTCGTCGTCGTCGTCGTAGAGGCCGGCCGTGTCGTCGTCGTCTTCGTCGAGGTGGCCGTCTTGCCGGCGGCGGCTCAGGAGCGCAACGATGCACGGCAGCGCCAGCGGGAACCGCGCGTGGGCGACGACGCCAGCGACGCGCGCCGCGTCACCGAGGCAGTTGGCAAGAATGTCGAGCGACTGGAGCACGACCGACCGACGCGGAGCAGACGCCGTGAGCGGCCGCAAGACGACGTCCCACTCGTCCGCACGCATGGTCACGGCGCGGGCCACCTACATCTCGCCGTCTCCGACACCCGCTGCATACAAGCAACGATTCTACCTGGACGAGAATGTCCATGGCGTACGCGGCCGTCTCGTCGTCGTCGGAAGCGTTCTTGAGGGTACCAAAGAGCCACGTGCGGAGCGTTGCGTGCGCTGCCAACGGCGCTTCGTTCTCGCGCACCATGCTGAGGTTGCGCACGATATTGAGCACGCGCAGCCCATGCTCGTGCTGCTGCGTCGCGTCGCGCGGATCCTACATGGACGAGGAGAGATGTGGACGATCTATGTGGCCATGGACCGAACCCACCGTGGCCGCAAAGAGCCGGACCGACGCCGGCAACGATGGTGATGTTGGCGGCGGCGGGAGCTGCCGGCAGAGCGCGTCGAGGAGCCCGGGCGCATGCGCAAAGTGAATATCGCAGTCCGTGTCGGACGCGTGGCCGTACGAGAGCACGGTGAGCTGGTTCAAGGCCCATGCAATGTGGTCGGGCAGCGTCGAATCGAGCGCGAGGACGAGGCGATGGAGCAGGCCCAAGTCTACGTGCATGGTCGCATGCAAGCGTGTGTGTGGCGATGTACCTGTGAGCTGTTGTCGATGCGTCTTGAGGCGCTTGGTGACCATGGGCAGCGGCGTGTAGCGGATGCTCGTCGTCGCTTGAATCTCGGGGTGTGTTGCAATCGTCTCGAGCTGCGTCGGCCGGTGCACGGCCTTGCCATGCACTTGCTGCAGCTCGAACGATCCGAGCCATCTACAGCATCGACCTCGCACCTGCAACACCGTCGACGACAACGTACGTGGCATAAAGCTGCTGGAGCGCAGGCGCCGTCATCTTGAGCTTCATCGAGGTGGCCACGGTGGACCAGAGGTTCTGTTCCGAGACGCGGCTGGCGCCGCCACGCGCGACGACCTCTTCGTAGAGCTGGACAATGTCGAGGAGGCGTGGGATGCTGAGCGTCGCGTCTGGTACGACCGGCAGCGGCTGCTGCTGGAGCGCGGGCAGCGCCTTCGTGTAGAAGGTGAGGAGGCTCTGGAGGATGCGGTTCTTCCCGGCGTGGCCCCGGCAGAGCAGCTGGAGCTCGACCCACTGCTTCTGCGGCGTACCCTGCATGCTCACTGGCCGTGCTTTATGATTCGACCCGCGTGTGTTTTGTGGGAAATAGAAATTCCCACGCCGCTTGCTTATCCGGAGACATTATTGCAAAAGGAGCAGCATGGAGGCCGAGCTGGTTCGGCTGGAGGCGCTCCGCGACTCGTCGCGCGACCTCGTCGCGTACCTCGAGAGCGCCCGCGAGCAGTTTGACGCGATCCAAGAAGAGAACGAGAGTGCGTATGCCTCTGCTACCACCGGCTAACGCAGCGAACACCCTCGTAGAGGCCTTGCGCATCATGGAGAACTGGCACGCTGTCTTTGCAATCGCGAACGGCGTTGCCAGAATACAGAGCGCGTCCGAGACGTCGGGCGGCTTCTCGAGCGTGCCTGCGACGCCGTAAGACCGTCCATCCACCTCCATCCAACCACGCTAGAGGACGCATTGCATGTTGCAGAGCTCGCAGCAGGTGCAGCCAAGGTCGACACGCCATCTTTCGACACTAGCACGCCAACCACCCAAAATGCAAATGGTATACGTACATCGTGATGAAGTCGCACGAGGTGTATGTCGAGTGCTGTTATGGCCATGTCGCCGCGCTGGCTGATGGCACATGGTGCGTCTAGTCGTCTCTTTGAACGACGCAGAAGAAGCGCTTGAACGGGAAGAGCACATGGCCGTCGGCTTGGACAGGATACGCCGCCGCAATCCGCGACGCATACTCTTGCAGAAAGGCCTCGCGCACAGTAGGGTCGTCGATCGCATGGACGTACGGCCCAAGGCCCGTCGACGACACAAAATCCACAACGGGATGACGATATGCGGGTTCTTTGTCGCGCGGCGCTGGTAGGAGCACCTGCGTGTACTCGGTGCTCCACAAGTGGATGTGGTCCGGGCGCGCGATGGCGGCAAAGAGGCCGTAGTACGCCGACGGGTCTTCCTCGGTCGTCACCCAGCGCACGCCTGCGATGTCGACGCCAAGCGCGCGGGCTGCTTCGGGCATGAGCACGTGGCTGGCTTGGACGCGGGTGTCGGGCATCTGAATGGCCAAAACGCCACCTACGACGCATCGATCGAGGTAGAAGGCTAATGGCTAATGCGGGCAGACCGTACCTGGCTTGAGGAGCGAGAAGAGCCGTGGCAGGAGCACCTTGTGCACGTCGAACGAAACCCAATGCAAGGCAGCATTCGAGAAGATAACGTCTACAGGCTCGGCGACCGAAAAGGTTTCAAAGTCCGCTTGCGTGTACGCGACGTTGTCGACGATGCCGGCGTGCGCGGCGCGGGCGGACGCCAGCATGTCTTTCGACGAGTCGACGCAATGAATGCGTGCGTGGGGCCAGCGCTCACTACCGCCTCATCATCATGAGCTGCGTCCTCGCGAAAAGCAACATGATACCGCATAAAGGGCGTGATGTTGCCCGTGCCGCAACCCAAGTCGACGATCGAGGCAACGTTATTGGGCACGTGGATGCGCTGGAGCAAGTCGAGCGCGGGCTGGAGACGGCTGGACTCAAACTTGAGGTAGTGCGACGGCGCCCAGGCGCGGGCGGCGCGCGTCGTGGTCATGGTGCAAGTTGACTAGTGCGGATTGCAAGACTGAAAGGCCATTGGCTGAAATCCTTCATTCGTACCCTTGATTGGGGGATTTTCGAGCCAACCTCCAAGCTCGGAACGTGATCTTGCGATCCCGGCAGGCTTGGAGGTCGACCACAAATCCCGCGAAAGGACTTCCAAGGACCGCACGAATAGCGATGTTGTACACTGTACAGTGTAGTCGACGGACATCATTCTCAATCCTACTACAGTGTACGTAACGCCGAATCCTTGATACCTTGACACACATGCAGTCGCCAAACCACCAGCGTGGACGTCGTATGCCGCACAGTCAGTCCAGGACACGAGAGAGAAGTGACCTGATTGGTTTGATAAGGACACCAGGATGGGACCCATGGAAGCTCTACGACACCACTAAGAACTCAAACTTAGTCGTCGCTTGCCACCTTTCAACCTCTTTTTCTCGGGCTCTACGCCTCCAACGGTGACGCGGCATAGCATTTCGTACTCTCCAAAGTGTCGTCTATTACTGAGCCAAGAACGAGCGATTCCATTTTCAAGTCGACTTTTGGCCGCCGAGCCCGCTGGAATCGGCCACGGCAGCGTGGCTGGCTCGCATCGACTCGGATTGGCTGAAATGAATGGAATTGATCCACTCCAAATCCCCTTCATTGGTGTATTTATGATAAAATGCATCATTTCAGCCAATCCAATGTCTTCAACAACTCGCACCACGCTCAATCTCAAAATGAAACGCCACGGTCGACAGTCGACCATGGCAGCGACCTCGTACCGCTCGACGCCGGGATCGATCGAGTACCTCGACAGCTACCTGCTTGCGTCGGGTGACCGGCTTTTTTCTTGACACGTCGACGTTGGGAAAAGGCGGCGTCGACCTAAACTCAATTTGAAACCACTTTGAGTAACGCTTCGTACACGATGATCCAAGCGTACGTGAATGGTCCGCCGGGCGCGGGCAAGACGACGCTCTCCAAGGCGCTCGCCGCGTCGCTCCACCTCACGCACCTCGCGACCGGCGACATCCTCCGCGACCATATCAAGCAGCGGACCGAGCTCGGCAAGGCGGCGAAAAAGTGCATCGCGGCCAAGACGCTCGTGCCCGACGATATTGTTGTCGACATGATCGCCGACCGCGCGCTGCACGCGCCGCGCGGCTACGTTCTCGACGGCTTCCCGCGGACGCCCGAGCAGACGCGGCTCCTCAAGCAGCGCGGCATTTCGCCCAACGTCGTCTTGCTGCTCGAGGTACTACTTTAGCCGGCCAGTGTCCTGCATATGACAATGGCGTAGCTACCGCAAGACGAGATTCACACGCGGCTGCGCGGGCGCCGCGTCGACCCAACGACGGGCGACATTTACCACGCCACGTACCACGTGCCCACGGACGCTGGCGTTGCCGCGCGCCTCCTGCACGTACGTCTATAGAGATATTGGCAAGGTCGAGCGTCGTGGGGTTTAGCGCGACGACGACCGCGCCGAGAAGATTCCGGCGCGGATTCAAGCGTATGCTCAGTACGGCGCCGCCACGAACCGCGAGTTCACCAACATCGCGTACGACCTGGACGCGGACCGTCCCATGCGTGACGTGGCCGCCGAGGCCGCCGACATTCTGCGCTCCGTGAGCAAAGTTCAGGCCAAGCGATCTGAGGTGTCCAACCAGCTCTCGGTGCAGACGCCGCTGTCGGTGAAGAAGGTCTGTCTCATCAGCGGCGTGAGCGTGGCTGAGCGAACACTAGCTGGAGCCGGAAGAGTCGGATGTGAGTCCACCCAAAGTTCGCGTGAGTCTCCGCGCCGAGACAGCGCGCGCCAACAAGATCGATGCCGAGATCCAGCGCATGGGCCTCGAGCTCCATGCGCCATGTGTCGACAACAACCATCTCAAAGCGGTTTGTTTTGTTTTCTGATTTTGAGACCTTGATAGATTGATATGGACGGAATTGGTGGAACATAGGACACGGCCATGCTCGTCGAAATGGAGCGCTTCAAGACGATGCTTATCTCTGGTTTTGACGTCATCAAGCACGGGCGGCGCGGCGCCCCGCACACCCGGACGGTTCATCTCTCGATGTGATCAACCTAGCCCTAAACCCAGGACTCTAGTTGTTTGCTGACGTCGAGTTCAAGCGGCTCTTTTGGCAAAAGCCAGACAAGAAGGAGCTCAAGCCCAAGCTCGACCAAAGCATTGCGCTCACCGATGTCATTGAGATTGTGCAGGGCATGAAGACCGAGGTTCGTCTTAGACATTTTTTGTGGAGTTTTCTTCACTTTCTCTAGGTGTTTAAACGTTCGGGCGACTCGAGCAAGGCGGGCCGGTACCTCTCGCTTGTCGCGGACGACCGGACGCTGGACATTGAAGCCGCCACGGACGACATTTGCAGTCTCCTCGTGCTCGGCTTTTCTGAGCTCACCGCCCGTAGCGAGTAGGGCATCGACAAGCAACAAACTCTATATACTAGTACACATGATTTCTATACGACTACTTGAAGGGCCGCGGCATGCAGCCTTTCCCCCCGGCGATAACGAGGCAGCTCGTCGAGTCAAACATGGACAAGAGACTCGCAGCGATCGAGTACAAGAGCACGACGGCACAAAAGAGGAGGATGCCACCGCCCACGTACGGGTACAGCGCGCGGTCGAGCACTTGGAGGCGGTGGAGCGCGGGCTTTTGGTTGGGCAGCAGCGCGACGCTTGCGCAGGCGAGGAGCGTCGTGCCATAGTAAATCGCGTACGTCGATGCGACTTGGTGTCGGACGTGGTCCGAGTCGGCGATGATCGCTGCTTCGCTGACGTCAAAGAAGGAAAAAATCGCGTTGGCGACGACCGGGCCAAAGGACGACGGGAGGTTCGAGACGGTCGTCATGAGACCGTAGAGGACGCCTTCGTTGCCAATGTCAGCGAGCTCGACGATGAGAAACGACGACACGATGAACTGCATCGCGTACGGAAGGTTCTCCGTGAGAGGGACGCCGAGGTAGAACCACTGGTTGCGCACGACGTTGTAAATGGTCGCAAACTGCACGATCGCGTCAATGCCATTGGCGCAAAGGGTCGTGAGAAGCAAGACAAGGTGCCAGTTCCACATGGTTCCGTACCGGCCCATGGCGGCGAGCGCAGCTGCAAAGAGGAGGTTGCCGCCGATCGTGACGAGCTGGCTGTTGATGTTCTCGACGTGCGCCCAGTGCAGCATGACGTACGGGGCGGCCGTCGAGGCCATGCCGGCGTTGAAGAAATTGAAGAGGAAGTTGAAGAGCATCACTTGCCACGTCACGCGCCTCTGCACGAGCGCCCAGCACTGACGCACGTAGCCGGCAAAGCTCGCGCGGTCCTCATGGTCCTCGTCGTGGTCACCGGGATGCGTGTCGTCGCAGACAAAGAGTGCCGTGATCGGCAGCATGACGGCGCATGGAACGACAGCAAGAAGGAGGAAGATCGTGTTGACGCCCATGTCCCACGAGTAGTTGCCGGCAAAGCGGTTCGAGTTCAAACCGACACCGACGATCGCGGCGGCGACTGCGGACGCTAGAGTCCGCGTCATGTAGACAAGCGATTGCATGCGCCCACGCGTTGCCATCGACTCGCGCTGCGCGATTGAGACGACGAGCGCGTCCGCGGGCACGTCAGCAATGACATACGAGATGGTCGCGAGGCCGAGAAGGATCGCAACGACACCCGCGGTTCGGGCGCTCGCGGCCTCGTCGCTGGTCTCGTTGAAGGGCAGGCCAAAGTCGAGGGTCGCGAGGGCGACCATGCAGAGTAGCGTGCATGCCCAGCCGAGAAGCATGTACGGCTTGCGGTGGTAGCCAGCGATTGGCACGCAGTCGGAGAGAACGCCGACAAAGACCTTGAGCGACCAGCCGAGCGTGAGAAGGGTCTTGGCCGAGTTGTACTGGTGGCCTTGTACGTGAAAGTAGCCCGTAAAGTACGGGTAGAGGAGATTCGGGAGTGACCCGTAGAGGAGGCCGATCGCTACGTACTGTGAGAGCAGCGCGAGCACGGCCGGGCTGCTGTACGAGGGCGTGCCCCCCGGGCGCAAGGCGCCACCGACCGTAAGCCGAATGCTGTCGGTCACATCAAAGCTGGCCTCTGTGAACGGTGATGCGGACGAGAAGACGCCGGAGCGTCGCTCGTAGAGGTCCATGGACGGACGGACGTCGGCCATGGCGCGGCGAAAAGTGTGCCAGCCGACGCATGGCACGCGCGCGGACTTTCCCAATACTGTCTCTGGTCGACCGGCCATGGTCCACCACGCCGTCGGTGGATTGTCTTTGACGCTCCTGCTACGCGTACCGCAGAGAAAATGCTGCTGGTTTTGGGGTGTCGCGCGTCGAGTGTACACGGTCGGAGCTCTTAATGCGAGCTTGCATGCGTGTCATTTTCATCGAGACTAAGTTGAGAATAGGCTGAAGTGGGCGCAATCCCCATCAAAAGCGTTAGGCTACGTTGGCGCCACCCAAGGAAAGCATACAAACCTCAAGAGATGGACACGTTAGGCAAGTGGGATGCCATCGGATGCACTGCGCAATGGGTGCGGCGTGGGTGTCGTGTTGCTCAGTATTATTAGTACTGAGCAGGAGCGAGCTACCAAGTACTGAGTCAGTACCCGGTAGCTCGCTCCCTTGTCGCCCTTGCATCGCTGCAGTCGCGAGCGAAAGTCGACGTCGCCTTGTTTCCTGCGCACTCCGCGAAGGACCCGAGAGACTGCGGGATCGATGGACTGGAACACGAGAGCACGAGGAGTGCGAGTTGTTGTCGCTGCGCCGTGTCGCAGGCGCGTCGCATGTATCTTGCACCCATCTCAACGTGGCACTCGGAGGGCATTTAGCGGCTGTCCAGTCCACACGCTTGCTTCGTTTAACGCGTTTTACAATAGGCTCGGCAGCATGGACGACTCCTTTCCGACACCGCCAAGGGTCAGGTCGTCGCAAGCTGTCAGGGGTTCGTTGGAAATGTCAGCGATAGCAGCGGACCACGGGACTTGAAGCAGCCCTTTGCCCAGGCGCGTGTCGGGGTCCCTTGATGGGCGGCGTCGAGTGCGAACAAGAAGCGGTAGACATCATTAAAACATGCAGTCGTGCGGAGGATACGCCGTTGCATTGCGATCGTCGGCGCAGGTGTCGAGAAAACCCGCCAGCTTGCGTGCAGAGGACAAGTTGTCTTACACGAGCGGAACCCGACTCTGATTCTACTACAAAGGTGGTCTCTACTACTACTATGTTATCGCATAGTCGGTGGTGGTTTTACTCCAAGGCATCACTCTCCATGGATGGGTCGTCGTTGTTGGCCGCGGCCGAGACGGGTGCAGGTGCCATTTGAACTTCATGAACCGAGAGATGCTCAAACGACTTGATGGACCCAGTGCGCCGGGCATGCGGGACGTCTGTGAGCTCGTCGACGACCGAGATCTTGGTCGATCGGCGTCCTTCCGACACCTTTGTCGCCGCCATCGTCGTACCTGCCGTCGGACCGAGCTTGCGAGACTGCTTCCAGTCGGCGGCGCTGTCGGGCGTGACGCTGTCCCCTTTTTTAGCAGGCGTGGGCGGCGATTTGGGGGTTTTGGACGGTACGTTGGGTTTCAGCGGCCGTGACGGCGAGAGGCATTGACACTTGAGCATGCGAATGCAGCGGTTCTGCATGCCGTACTTGAGGATAAAGTCGTACGTGCCCATGCGGAGGTAGAGCAGGTACGTATGGAAGCCCGTGAGGGCGCCGTACGCCACGCCCAGCACGAGGCAAATAATATTGTGCAGCCAGATCGCCACCTAGTGTAAACACAGCTCTCACCTCCGATCACACAAAATAGGGGTACGAGAAGGCCGTCCCGGTGCGCTGCCGGATGCCACACGAGAACGTCGTCGAGCCAGTAGGTGGCCAGGACGATGCCCACGATGGCTTGGTACAACGTTGCGCAGGTGCCGGATAGGATCAGGAGGTAGAAGGGCTCGTAGTTCGCCTCGCCGATGCACGTATTGAGCCTACGCCCATAGGCATCAACGGATCATTGACGAGCAAGGTCCGTACCACGTGCAGTGATGGTCGAGCCCTGGGCTGTTTTTGGCACAAGCGCTGCAGTACCGAATCGGCTTGGCCGGGACGGGGACGCACCACTTGCGTGTGGCGATTGCAGCCGCGGGGTTGCGGCTCTCGCAGAGAAACCAGCAGACGAAGAAGAGGGCCATCCCGGCGACGTACGGCAGAAGCACCCACAGCGCCTACTCGTGTAGCGACAACATCATGAGCCGAGATTGGTCCAAAGCGTCGCACGCACGAGGAGGTCATTGAGGCAGCTCACGGTGATGGCCACAAATGCCTACGACGCGACGTGGTGACGTGAGAGGCCCGACGCGTCGTACGTACGGCAAAGAGGCACGGCTGCAGGACCCAGCTCGTGACCTGGTCCCTCGAGAAGGGCTGGTGCAGCCCGTTCACGCGCACGCTTGCATGCATCGACGCAATGCCAACTGAAATGCAAGATGGAGGGATGTGGGTGGTCTAATATTAGGCACCGGTCGCCGCCATCTTTCGCGTTTTCTGTTGCCGCGTGTTTTCTATCCAACCCCTCGTCCTGCTCGTCCAGAAAAGCCGTGCTGCGTAGATCGACATAGATATCACCGTTCTCTGATGAGATTTGTCGTCGCGCTGATGGGCTACGATGCGGGCGCTCACTCGATGACTTTGGTGCCACTCGTGTGTGCTGCAGCGCTGGAAAACGGGATGGATTGCTTAGCCCCTCAACGCCTAACTTTTACTACGGATCGTTCGTATTCTCATGTCCTTAAGCAACACTTTCATCAACGTACTGTGGTGCTCGTCAAGTACACGAAGTGGTCTGGGAACTGGTCATCGTGGTGAACTGTCTCGTGAAATTTGGTGCGACTCAACGGCGGCGAGGCGATTTCGCACTCGTCGAGGTGCGTGGAGAGTGTCCAAGCCCAACAAACGTGGTCACCGGGTCATTCCAACGCTTTTCGTGCACGGGGGCTCGAGATGGAGATGCATTTCGAAAAATCCTAGATCTTGGTTCGGCACCTTTGATTTAGCGTGTAGGCCACGTCCGTGAAATTTAATGACAAATTGGATTTTGCAATAGAAGACACGACACGAGGAATACATTAGGCGCCTGAAACGCTCGCCAATTTACTTTTTGAGGCACGTGCCGTTCTTGCGGCCCTTGCCGCCGGCGACGCGGAGGCACTTGGTCGACGGGTACACGGACAAAAAGTTGGTCGTCACCGAAAACGTCAGCGCGAGGAAGAAGACGATCACCAAGAGGGCACCCGCGAGCTTGCTCGTCTGGCCACGCTTCTTCAACTCTTGCATGGCTTCCTTCTGCGGCGGGAGGAGGAAGAGCCAGCCAAGCGCCGCCAGCTTGCACGCGTACGAGATGAAGTAGCAGTACGTGACTTCCCAGCGGACATGGTTGTCATCAACCGCCATCTGGTCCATGGACACATCAAAGTACGAGTCGATGAGCTTGTAGATGACCGATGCAAACGGCGATGCGAGGTTCGAGATCGTCGTCACAAGACCGTAGGTGGCACCCTCGTTACCAATGTCGGCGATCTCGACGGCGCAGTAGGTGGCGACAATGAAGCGGATACCGGCGGGGACGTTGTCGGCCAGCGGGACGCCCGTGAAAAACCACTGGTTGCGGAAAACGTCCCAGATTGTGACAAAGATGACAATACCATCAATAAGGATGATACCGATCGTGCCGAGGGCGATGACCCAGCGCCAGTTCCAGTGGAGACCCCACTTGCCGACGGCCGCCATGACGAGCGTCATGATGAGGTAGCTCAAGACACCCGAGAGGGCATCGTTGAGCGGCTCGACTTCGGCCCAGACCGACGCCATCGGACTGCCTGGGGTGGCGCCGATGCCAGCAAAGACCTGGTTGATGAACTTGAAGGCGCAGATCTGCCACATGACCCGCTTCTGAAGGAGGCCCCAGAAGTTGGAGATGTAGGCGCCAAACGGCGTGCGCTCGGTCTTGACTTCAACGAGAAGGAAGAGCGTGCTGAGCATAATAAGAGCACACGGCACGAGGCAGATGGCGTAAATGACGTTGGGCGACACCGAGTAACTGAACGAGCCACCGTATTCCTCACCGTTGAGGAGGAACGCGATGCAGACCTGGGCGACCGTCGAGCCAATGTAGCGGAGCGTGTAGATGGCGGTCTGGGTGCGGCCGCGGATGGCCACGGGCTCACGCTGGGCGTACTGGACGACCATGGCGTCGGCGGCGCAGTCGGCCATGACGTAGCCAAAGCTGACAATGACCGAGAGCATGACAAACTTGCCGCCCTGGTCCGGCGCGTCAAAGTTGTACCACTTACGAAGTTCCGGAGTCATATTGACGCCGGTCGGCACCTTCTTGGGGCAAGGAATCTCACGCGCATCGCAGTACGGGTCCGGGAACGACGAGAACGTCATGACACACAAGCATATCGTGGCAATGACCCAGCCGATGAGCATCCACGGCTTGCGGCGGTAGCCCATGATGGGCACGCAGTCCGAGAGCATACCGAAGAAGACTTTGAACGACCAGCCGAGGACGACGAGCACACCGTAGGCCGACACTTGGTAGCCTTCCATCTTCAAGTAGTTCTGGAAGACCGAGTACTGCATGCCGGGCAGCATGCCGTAGAGAATGCCGATGGCAAAGTACTGCGAGAAGAGCGCGAGGGCCTCGCGGGAGACGAGCGAAAGCGCACCACCGGCGACGAGCGCGCCGTCTTCGAGCTCACCGGGCGTCTTGGCGTCGGCGTAGTCACCATCGACATCCTTGTCCTTGGTTGCCGACTGGATGTAGGAGACGCGCTCCTGGAGGTCCATTTGGCCGAGCTCCTTTTGAGTCGTGGCCATCTTTGTGTTCTTGGAGGCAAATCAAAAAGTGAGAAGGCGAACCGAGCGCGAAATCAACTTCAAGGAGGCTGCGTAGTACGGTGACCTCGCGCAGAAAGGACCTATATCTTCGTAATCACCTCCTGTCCCGCGTAGTACAACGTCAGCCGCTCGTTTTGTGAAGCCAAACGCGACAGCTGTTGGTTCGCTTCTTGGTTGACTTGACGACCTGCCACGCCGGCGGAAACTGAATCAAGAGCATCGACAATCTGGCATTCTTGCATCGTTGCGTAGTGGTTACAATCGCTCGAAGTATCACGAGATACATCAATCAATCTATTGTCTGTGGTGCAGCTTACGGAACAAGTACGAGTGCGGAAGTGGGGGAGGTGCCCTTTTCTGAGTTGACCAAACGACATCTGGTGCAACCGGTGTGCGGAAACTAGCGCAACCATTGGTGTTTTTCTATCACATTGTGGTAACGCGTCCAATGGTTGTGTTAGATTTCAGATCCGTCAACATCTGCGTGCACGGGAGAAGGTTATGGGAGTCAGAACGGGAGTCCTCGAGCTCCTCCGCGAACAACACTTTGACCAAAGAGGACCTTCTTCGCACTTGACATTGGGCGTCTTGGAAGTTTGCTGGCTGTCATTTCTCCAGCTGATTAGGTGAAACGGGTCACGGCACGCGAGAGACTGTGGTATCGCATGATTCGTCGAGCGTACCGTAAACCAAAGAAGCTCTGATGCCAAAGCACCTCGTTCAAGTGAAAAACCGTGCCATGTTGGTACAGTACTACGGTCGCGAGGTCACTTGTTGAAGTGACGAATCAGAAGGTCAAAAAGCAGAAATATCACGCATGCAAAGTGGGCGTAGCGAATGTGCATAGTGAGCGCAAATGTATTTTTCAACACCAGCAGACTCATACAAAAACCAAGTTCTTTTCTTCTTGGGCCGGGTCCGGACCGTGGTTTTCAGGTGTATGCGAGGACCAAGCGCCCGCCGCGGCCATTGTACGGCGTTCAAACTGAGCCCCTGAGTTATAACACTAGCGTCAACATCGTGTCTTGACTCCATGTTATCGGCGTAGGTAACGTGTGTTGATCTCCATGACGTTTGCTGATGGGCGGGGGTGAACTCCATGGCTTAAATCAAAGCTCCCGCATGTCGTCAGAGTCAAAGCGCCACATTTACTGCAACCCCGAAAGAGAGTGCTTCCCACTACTGCATACCTACGACCCCTACCAAAGCAGTTTGATTTGGTGCCATTTCAGTGACGCAGCTACCAAGTAGGTCGCGCATCTCGCATTGTCAGCATCGTCCTGCGTCTACTGATGGCACATGACGCAAGGATACATAGGTACCCTCGTCCGTCATACATGCAGCGTCCGCAAGGCGCTGCCGTGTGCATGGCGGACGCAGGGACGGGCGGGGTGTAGACTAGCTACATGGCACCAACTTCAGTAGCAAGAGCGTCCGGTCAATGCACATAGCCGAGCGACATGGCGGCGACCGCCGGCCTGTCAAAATCACCAAGCGACTTGGTTGTCACGAGACAGAAGATACCACTGGCACACGGAGCGGGTGGGCAAAAATAGTCGAAAATGTATAAATTTAGCTTTGCCGTCTTTGAATAGATATCGGTTGAGCAACCATTGCGCGATTGCCAGAGAATGGACCAGGTCGGCGCCAAGGCGAAGAGGGCCGAGGTCCAGCCCGTCTGCGTGCGGCGGGCGTCCTTCGCCGCCTTGCCCGAGATCCCTGCGATCGACGGCACGATCCCGCGCGTGCGCACCGACATGAACTTCAAGGGCCTCCAAGACCCGTACTCGGAGTGCCACCAGGTGCTCACGAGCTCGCTCAACGCCGCATCGATCGACACGATGCTCAGCGGCGGCCTCAAGAATTTCTTTGAAAAGTACAACCGCCTCGCCGAGACGACGAATCTGCAGCTGCAGACGCCCGAGATCCGCTTCTCCAACCTCTCGTTTTCGGCGCAGTCGAGCGCCAACTCGCTCTCGTCTGGCACCGTGGGCAGCTACCTCCGGCAGCTCTTCTTCCCGTTCTGCTGCAAGCCGCCGAGCGTCGAGAAGAATGTGCTGCACCCGATGTCGGGCGCGATTCCGCCGGGAAGCATGACCTTGGTAAGATGCAGTGGCATAAGACACTCAGTTCTGATGGGCTATATGATAGCTTTTGGCGAGCCCGGGCTCGGGCAAGACGTCGTTCCTCAAGGCGCTTGCGAACAAACTGCCGACCAAGCACACGAAAATCGGCGGCAGCGTTTCGTACAGTGGCCTGACGTGCGACCAGATCGACCTCCGCAAGCTCGTGGGACTCGTCGACCAGCGCGACAACCACATCGCGACCATGACTGTGCGCGAGACGCTCAAGTTTGCAGATCTCTGCCTCAACGGTCGCCCGAAGAAGAGGACGGGGTCGCAGTCCCCGACCAAGGCCGAAGAAAAGATGGCGGACGTGGCCAACTTGCGCACCGACCTCTACTTGCACATCCTCGGCCTCTCCAACTGCGCCGACACGGTAAGTCCCCCGTATGTTGATCTCTCGTCGTCAAGGTGGATTCCATTGCGTAGATCGTCGGCGATGACATGCTGCGGGGTGTGAGTGGCGGCGAGCGCAAGCGCGTGACTGTGGGCGAGATGCTCGTCGGCGGCCAAAGCATATTTCTCTGCGACGAGATCAGCACGGGTCTGGACTCGGCCGCCACCTTTGACATTGTCAACGCACTCAAGACATGGACCAAGTCACTGGGTGGCAGCTGCATTGTGGCCTTGCTGCAGCCACCCCCCGAGGTCGTCGAGCTCTTTGACGACATCTTGATGCTCTCGGACGGGCATCTGGTACGGTTCCCAGCACTTGGATTTCAGATCCAGAAACCATATGGCGCCGACATCTGGCAACACATCTGATGGTGACATGTGGGTAGGTGTACCACGGTCCGCGGACGTCGACGCTGCCTTACTTTCAGTCGCTCGGGTTCGTGTGCCCGGCGCGCACCGACCCGTCGATCTTCATGCTCGAAGTCGTTGCGGGCAGCGGGAGCAAGTACTTCAACCCTGGTATCAACTTGATAGTGTACCGAACGATGGATTTGAGCGTCCGACTAGAGCACCCGACACCGGCGCCGACAACGTCCAAGGCGTTCGGGGAGGCGTTCGCAGCGTCGCCAATGCACGCAGCCGTGCGCATGTGGCTCAAGAACAGCAGCCTCCAGTACGACGTGACCAGCGTCAAGCGCCTCGCGTTTCTCGCGCGCAGGACGACACAGTTCAGCCTCGCGTTCTGGGACAGCACGAAATTGCTCATGGCGCGCCAAGTGGTCTTCTGGGTCCGCGACAAGGAGCTGCTCTACGGCAAGTTTATCGAGGCGTGCGTCGAGGGGTTGCTGCTCGGCATCATCTACCTCAACTGCGACGCGTCGCTGTATTTGCGCATGCTCTTTTTCACGATTGCGATTTTTCTGGTAGTTTTCCTCTTTTTTTCTGGATCGAAAATGTCTGACAGAGTTCGTAGCGCCACGCATGGCAGCGCATCACGATCTCGCTCGCCGTGCGCAACGTGTTTTACAAGCAGCGGTCGCGCAATTTCTTCCGGACGTCGTCGTACGCGATCGCCGAGGCGGTCGTCCAGATCCCGATCAACCTCGTCGTTGCGATTGTGCTCGGCTCGATCTTCTACTTTATGAGCGGCCTCGCGCACGAGACGTCCGTGTACTTTACGTACCTCGCGGTCCTCGTCGTCTTCCAGCACGTCATTGCGGCGTACTTTACGCTGCTGAGCTCGATCGCGCCGACGATCACGATCGCGCAGTCGTTCGCGGCCTGCTCGATCGTCTTCTTCATTCTCTTCTCGGGCAACATTGTGCTCTTTGACCTCATTCCGACGTATTGGCGCTGGATGTACTGGTGCAACCCGCTTACGTGGGCGCTCCGGGCTATCATGCTCAACGAGTACAGCAGCACGCGCTACTCGATCGACGAGCGTGCCGACAAGCTCGATATGTTTGAGATCCGCCAAGACAACGAGTACATTGGGTACGGCCTCCTTGTGCTCTTTGGCTACTACCTCTTCTTCACGACGCTCAACGCCCTCGCGCTCCATTTCATCCGGTTTGATACGCAAGTGCGGGCGACGTCGCCCCCCGCGGCGCCCCCCGCCGGGGCTGCGACCGCGCTCACGATCGAGACGGCGCCGACGCAGCTCCCGTTCTACCCCGCGTGCATCGCGGTCCGCGACTTGGACTACTTTGTGAAGATGCCGTCGGGCGACGAGCGGCAGCTGTTGCAGCACATCACCGCGTCGTTTGAGCCGGGCACGATGACGGCGCTCATGGGCTCGTCCGGCGCCGGCAAGACGACGTTTATGGACGTCCTCGCGGGCCGCAAGACGGGCGGCCGCATCGCCGGCGACATCTACATCAACGGCGAGCCGAAAAACCCCGCGACGTTCAGCTGCATTGCCAGCTACTGCGAGCAGATGGACATCCACTCGGAGAAGGCGACGATCCGCGAAGCGCTCGAGTTTTCGGCGTTTCTGCGGCTGCCGCAAACGTTCGAGTACGATGCGAAGCTGAGCTTGGTGCGCGAGACCTTGACGCTCCTCGAGCTCGACAAGATTGCGCACGAGCGCGTCCTCAACCTCAGCGTCGAACAAAAGAAGCGCGTCACCATTGGCGTCGAAGTGGTCGCCAACCCGAGCATCCTGTTTTTGGACGAACCGACCTCGGGGCTGGACGCGCGCTCGGCGCAGTTTGTCATGCGCGGCGTCCAGTCGATCGCGCGCACGGGCCGCACGGTCATTTGCACGATCCACCAACCGAGCATCCAGATCTTTGAGCTCTTTGACTCGCTTTTGCTGCTGCAAAAAGGCGGCCGCATCGCGTTTTACGGCGAGCTCGGCGATGACTCGCAGAAGCTGCTCGAGTACTTTCACTCGATCCCGGGCACCGAGAAGATCCAGCCGCTCTACAACCCTGCGACGTACATGCTCGAGGTCATTGGCGCTGGCGTCGGCCGCAAGGACATCAAAAACTACGCGGATGTCTATGCGAGCAGCGACCTCTGCGCGGCCAACCGTGTGAAAGTCGAGCGACTGCTCGCACCGTCGCCCGATCTCGTCATGTTTTCGACGCTGGCGTTCCAGCCGATCGCGACGAGCCTCTTGAACCAGACGCGCTGGCTGGCGCACCGAGCGGTGCTCATGTACTGGCGCAGTCCCGCGTACAACTTTGTGCGGCTCGTGTCGTACCCGGTCTTTGCCGTCATCTTTGGTAGCACGTTCTACCAGCTGCCGTTTGGCACGATGGCGCACGTGACGTCGCATGTACACTATTGTCTGCATGTCGCCTGAGAAACTGATGCTCTCTGGTGTAGATCGGACTCATTTACAACATTATGGACTTTATTGGCGTCATCAACATGATGACCGTGCTCGACATGGCGAGCACAGAGCGCCCCGTGTTTTACCGCGAGCGCATGTCCAACTACTACAGCCCGCTGCCGTACACACTCTCGCTGCTACTGGCCGAGATCCCGTACCTCGTGGTCGTCAACCTCAGCTTTGTCGCGATCGTCTACTGGCTGGTCGGCTGGTACCACGACGCCGCGACGTTCTTCTTCTTCTGGTTCATCTACTTTGTGTACACATCTCTGTGTACTTTCGTGGGGATGTGGATGGCTGTGCTCATGCCCAACATCAAGGTGGCCAACGTCGCCGTCGGCGCGACGTCCTGCATCGTGAACCTCTTTGGCGGCTTCCTCCTCCCGTTTGTGCGCATGAAGTGGGGCTACAAGTGGCTGACTTGGATCATCCCCTCGAGCTACTCGCTCAACGTTCTCGTTGGACTTGTCGTCGCGCGCTGCGAGGATGGCGTCGGCCCCGGCTGCAAAACGATCCTCGTCGGCGGCCAGCCCGCAACGGTCAAGTCGTACGTTATCTCGAAATTTGGGTTCGACCCGGCCGAGATCTACTCGAGCAGCGGTGCGCTCCTCCTCGAGTGGGCGCTCATCCAAGTGTTTATCTACCTGACACTGCGCTTTCTGTGCCACCTTAAGCGCTAGATTCATTAACACCCCACATGACATGATTACATTCGCCCTTATCGAGCAAAACAAGAAGCGAAATAAGAAGCAAAACACCTGCACGCGACCGTCGGCTACACTATGCATTGCAGAGTCGACTGTGGGCCGAAACGCGTGGGACTTGGTTGTCCAGCAAATTTCTGGTTTTTGTCGAAGTTGGTGACTCAATATCACAGCTATGCCACCGTGTCAAGGGCTCGGAGATCCGCAACGGGGGCCATCGTCAGCTTCATGCTGTGCAACCTCAAAACGACGTCATCGCCAACTACGCTGTACGCGAAGCAAGCCTTTCTTCTTTCTCATGGGCACATCTCTCTCGTGGCGCTGTTATCATCGCGAAGTATATCTCTCTTGCCGAATACGGAGTCCATAGGAACAAGTTGTATGCGTACGATTTAACGAAAAAATCTTGGTGTCTGTTTTGAATCGTTGGCAGCCGTCGTGAGCAGTGGCAAGGCCATGGGCGTATCGGCCACCGCGAGCCGATGCGTCATTCGATCCGAACATAACCAGACCGAGCCCAGTAGAGGGCCAGATGGGGCTTTAGTGCCTCCAGTGGTGACTGCAAGACGACGCGACCCGCGACGACAAAGTCGTTTCGGGGGAAAAACGATGATCAGGTGTCTCAAGAGCTCCACACAAAGGCAGAAAATATATCCAGCAGCAAGACGCGGTTAACCCTCCCGTGTCCACACGTTTTTGCATGCCATAGTTGCATGGTAAGAAAATAAAGTTGATTGGTACATAATCAAATACGACACGAGACAGAGGCGAATATGAACGCGTTTACTTCTTGACTGGGCACGAGCCGTTGACCGTACCCTTGCCGCCGGCAATGCGGTAGCACTTGGTCGACGGGTACACGGACATGAAGTTGGTCGTCACCGAAAAGATGAGCGCAATAAAGAAGATCGCGACGAGGAGCGCACCCGCGAGCTTGCTCGTCTGGCCACGCTTCTTCAGCTCTTGCATGGCTTCCTTCTGCGGCGGGAGGAGGAAGAGCCAGCCAAGCGCCGCCAGCTTGCAGCCGTACGAGATGAAGTAGCAGTACGAGACCTCCCAGCGGACATGCTTGTCATCAACCGCCATCTGGTCCATGGACACATCAAAGTACGAGTCGATGAGCTTGTAGATGACCGACGCAAACGGCGACGCGAGGTTCGAGATCGTCGTCACGAGACCGTACGTGGCACCCTCGTTACCAATGTCGGCGATCTCGACGGCGCAGTACGTGGCGACAATGAAGCGGATACCGGCGGGGACGTTGTCGGCCAGCGGGACGCCCGTGAAGAACCACTGGTTGCGGAAGACATCCCAGATCGTGACGAAGATGACAATACCATCAATGAGGATGATACCGATCGTGCCGAGGGCAATGACCCAGCGCCAGTTCCAGTGGAGACCCCACTTGCCGACGGCCGCCATGACGAGCGTCATGATGAGGTAGCTCAAGACACCCGAGAGGGCATCGTTGAGCGGCTCGACTTCGGCCCAGACCGACGCCATCGGACTGCCGGGGGTGGCGCTGATGCCAGCAAAGACCTGGTTGATGAACTTGAAGGCACAAATCTGCCACATGACGCGCTTCTGGAGGAGGCCCCAGAAGTTGGAGATGTAGGCGCCAAACGGCGTGCGCTCGGTCTTGACTTCGACAAGGAAGAAGAGCGTGCTGAGCATGATGAGGACGCACGGGACCAAGAGGATGGCGTAAATGACGTTGGGGGGACACCGGAGTAACTGAATGTG